CAACCATTTTCCTTAAGGGACCCTTTTATCATTGAGTGAACCCTGACTAAGTGATATTATACTTTATGGAAATTTCATATTATACTCAATGCACAACAATAACAGTAGAGAATAGCCGATAAACAATTAACCCAAACAGTGAACACAATCACTGCGGGAAGTTTGTGTAAAACGTATTTTAATGAGCTTTTAAACAAGTTTCTGCCTGTATTATAATCATAGATTCATCAGAGAGTAAGTTTAGGTTTCCACCGTGCCCTAATGCTGCATTCACACATTCAAAATCAGGAAACGGGATGTCATGTTAGTTGATGAGAGCAGAAAAATATCCAACGTTCAAATATTTTAACTCCTTGCCGTTCTCCGTGATGGTATTTAAAAACAGATGTTACGTAGATCCTTCACACAAAGAGAAAATATGGTCAATCTGGACAACGAGGTGCTAATAACAATGAATAAATAACAAAAGATATCATTCACAAAAAAGAAAATACATTGGCTGCAAAGTACACTGACCTTCATCGTTCAAAGTGTGGTTCACACACTGCTGAGAGGGGATTCCTTAAGACAATCTATGGTCTAATGTGCAACCATTGTGTCGATCCTTAATATGAAAACGTTTGGGAACCCTTGTTTTAGTACATGAAAAGTGATATGCATTGAACACAACATCAATATATGGCTCACTCCACTGATTTTAAATGTGAAGACCAGTTTCCATTTATCAATCTGTCATTAAGCCTGTGAAAACGGTTGAAAACGGTCTTCATCTAGAGGAGCGGTATCTGCTGCTGCTTCTACTCAGACCTTTCTGTTTCTTAAAAAAACTGTCCACTTTTTTCTAAATTGTTTTTTAAATGTTTTCTTTGGAAATCAGAGGAAGACATTTAAAACAAGTCTCCTGACACGTATATACGTTTATGTGTCTATGCATATGAATGTTTGCAGGTCCATTAAAATAATCACAATACATGATTTACGTACTTTTCTTCTTATATGTTTTTTAGGTATCGTGCTTGCTGACATCATCGAGAAGTACTTTGTGTCGCCAACACTGTTCAGAGTGATTCGATTGGCCCGTATCGGACGGGTTCTACGTCTCATCAGAGGCGCTAAGGGCATCCGGACGTTACTGTTCGCCCTCATGATGTCCCTTCCTGCTCTCTTCAACATCGGGCTCCTCCTCTTCCTGGTCATGTTCATCTACGCCATTTTTGGCATGGCCAACTTCGCCTATGTAAAACGGCAGGCGGGGATCGACGACATGTTCAACTTTGAGACATTTGGCAACAGCATGATCTGCTTGTTCCAGATCACCACCTCCGCTGGCTGGGACAGCCTGCTCACCCCCATCCTCAACAACTCCCCCGAGGAGTGCAACCCCAACATCCCTCACACCGGCACCACCGTCCGGGGGAACTGTGGGAACCCATCGGTGGGCATCACCTTCTTCGTCACCTACATCATCATCTCCTTCCTCATCGTGGTGAACATGTACATCGCCATCATCCTGGAGAACTTCAGTGTGGCCACGGAGGAGAGCACTGAGCCGTTGAGCGAGGACGACTTTGAGATGTTCTACGAGGTTTGGGAGAAGTTTGACCCGGAAGCCACGCAGTTCATTGAGTACGCCAAGCTGTCAGACTTTGCTGACTCACTCTCAGAACCGCTTCGCATCGGCAAGCCTAACAAGATCAAACTGATCTCCATGGACCTGCCCATGGTCAGTGGGGACAAGATCCACTGCTTGGACATCCTCTTTGCCTTCACGAAGCGCGTTCTGGGCGAGTCCGGTGAGATGGATGCCCTTAAGCAGCAGATGGAGGAGAAGTTCATGATGGCCAACCCGTCTAAGATCTCCTATGAGCCGATCACGACGACTCTGAGGCGAAAACAGGAGGAAGTTTCCGCCACCGTGATCCAAAGGTGTTACCGCAGACACCTGGTGAGGCGGCAGATGAAGGCTGCCTCCTACTTGTACCGCCAGATCACCACACCCCGACATGCAGGAAGCGAAGGTGAAGAAGGTGGCGAGGTAGTGTTCGGGGAGGATGCACCTGAGAAAGAAGGGCTCATCGCCGCCATGATGAGGGAAAACTATGGTTCGAGTTTGTTAGGGATAGAGCGCTCCGAGACAATTTCCTCCACCTCGTCCCCGCCGTCCTACGACAGCGTGACGCGAGCCACGTCGGAGATCTTTCACCCGCTCGCTGGCAAGACAGAAACAATCGCTGTCGACACCGCAGGAAGCGAACCAAGCGAACAGTCGCCGTCCGTCGTTGACCCTGACAGACAGCAGGAAACGGTACCATAGCAGGAACCAAAAAGCAAAAAAAAATGAACAAATGAGGATGTCCTTGTTTTTGGGTTAAGCCTGTTTGTTCTTTTGTTTACTGAATGTACCATAGCTAAGGAACGCTGGGAAGGCGGCAGAGAGAAGCTATGAGCGAGGAACTGCAGGAGGAGTCAAGTTAAAGAGCAAACAAAGTGGAATATTTACTACCTTTAATGTTATTTCCTGTTCCCACTGGAGATTCCTGGACTCGAGCGATTTTTGGAGTTTCTTAAAGGGAAGCAGAAAAACTGCAATAACAGAGACGGAAACCCCGTCTGTCAAGTCAGCTCTGCCTTTGTTGGAGTAAAAAGACAGAAGCGTAGATCCCTCTGACCTCTTGGGTCTCTCGTGTCGACCGAAGCTGAGGGTTCGAAACACTGACTGACCTTTGACCTCAGCTGCAGGGGTCAAAACCACTATATCAGATGTATCCATCATTTATTGGCCTGGGGGGGTTTGTGCCTTCCCACAGTTAATATTCTCAGAGTACGCCTGGCTGTAAGAGTGACGGTGTTCCTGGTGGTGTTTCTCGACGCGTTAACAGTCGACGGCTTTCTGACTGACCGAGACTCGAGAGAGGAGGGAAAATAAATGACAACGTGATTTAAGAAAAATGTTTTCGTAGTAAAAGTATAACTTTGTTGATGTTACCAGTCTTTTAATAGCGGTACGATTATTACTATTTTTTATATTTTTTAGAGTAAGTTGAAGAAAAAAAAAGTCTCTCTCTTTCGACATTGGAGTGGCACTAGCTATGAGAAAGTGGCTGAACTACCACGTTGTAATAGATGAGAGGAGAGGGTGCGGTCAGGAAAAAAAAATAACAACCTGAGAAGCAACTTCATCTGTTTTTTGTTGGCAGTTTTGCACTTTTGAGTTTACACGTGCTGTCACTTTACCGCACCTGGGCAAAGACACATTGGAAAAAAGGGCCTGGGATGTATTTATTTTTTCCTCTGAGAACCTTTGAGATAACACACCAAAAACTAATACAAGTGCACAATGAGATTTTTTACACGGTCCCGGACTCTTCAAACATGTGTTTTGCCCCGGTGGTGAACATCCCCCATGTCCGTCACTTTTTTGGCTGTTGGGTGATTTGTCGAAATGTCCAAATTTAAAGTTGATTTTTTTTAGCTCACCTTCACTTAAACAACTTCAACAGAAGACTTGTATTCCTGCCGCATTACTACATTGCACAAGGAGGTTAAGGGATGCAGATCATTGATCAATGACATATGAGTTGCCAAGAAGAAAGTGTTGAAATATTTTATCAAAACAGTTCAAATTACGGATACCTGTATCTGGTATCAGGTATCAGGCTCCGACACACACATAAGATATCCCAGATTCCACTTTAAAAGCAGCGTGTTGTTACATAACCTCCTGTTAGCTGACGATTCATTTCATCAAGTGAATTTATCGTTAATCTCTTAAATCCAAATTCCAAACCCCTTAAATAAACTTTAAAGAAAAGACGTTCATATCATAAAACCCCTGAAGGCGTGAACACCTCAAATTCCTTTTCTAAAGCAGGATAAATATTGTTAGTGCAGTTAAAGGACCAGACTGCTGGTTTGAGACAAGCTTGGCAAAGATGCAAAAAATATAAATTCCTAAAAATATGTTTAAGCATGGAACAAACCATCAGTCTTTACTCGCATTCTACCAACTGAACTAAGACAATTACGCAGGGCTCTGTGTGCTCCTGTTGGAGCTCACTTACATTTACTTGTTTTAATGCCATTATTTATATAACGTTTTTCCTCTATCAGGGGATTTAATGTCGCTGTACAGACTTTTTTGACAAATCACCCGCTGTCATTAACTTATCCGTCTGGTCTGAGTTCGGCTCGGCACGCACAAGAGCTTAGACCGAATTCTACAACAAGGATAAGTTCTTCGAGGCGTCGTCCAGCCCTGACCGGAGTGTGACAATCAGCTCAGCACATCAGCATCAGGATTTCACCCTGTTTAGTTTCATGAAAAGGTCACTCTGATTTGGCGTCTGATCGATCACCTGTGTCCTGGAAAAACCTTGTCAAAACAGTTTCACGGCAGCTGATTATCGATGTCGTTTCTACGACTTTATCAGATTGTTTTCCTGTTTTCAGTATAAACCTTTCAAGATGTTTCAGATCAGGAATCAATTGCCATCAGACTTCAGTCAATTGCCATCAGACTAGTCGTCGCACATCTATATTAAATTATTTAAATATCTATATTTGAACAGTGGTAATGATTCTGAATGTTCCACGCTGTTCCACGCTATAAGTGTTTAAACTCCCCCTGTCCTTAAAACTCCCAGTCCGGGTACAGACAGCTAAAAGAACTAAGTAGCTAATAGCAGCTAGTACAGTTAGCATACGCAACAGTACCTCAGTAAGTAACTAAAAAGACTAATGAAAAGTGGGTCAACTAAGACTCTTCTTGTCGATCCCATGGTCCAAAAAAGGCATTCTAACAGTCTGAAGCTTGTTTAGGACAAATACCTTTTCAGGAAAATATCTCTAAAGTTATTGTTTCTGTCATGTTATGAGTGTAAATGAGCGGTTTACAAATGGCTGCATCCAAGCAGGTTTTTCCAGAACACTGCGTGACGATGCTAAAAGCTTTTCTTCTTCCGGTTTCCGCTAATCGATATGAAGAGTTTCATTTGAAATGAGGGGAAATAAATTGGTAAATTCCGATTGATTGATTGATTGATTGATTCCTGTTTGGATGTCACTGGCTAGATTAGTTTCTTGATAAGAAAATTAAATGGATCGTTTGAATGATTTCAAAGTACACCAGTAACTGAAAGTATTCAGTGACATATTGAAGATTTCGCAGTTTTTCCCTGAAGGATATCTGAGTTTGAAAGGAGACTCTTCAAATCCAAACACTGCGTTTTTATTTATTTATTTATTCATTTGTTTTCGGGTTGGTTGCTTTATTTAAGTTGGGTTTTTATTTAATTTTTTTTGCACGTTTTTAGCTGTGTCCTGGAGTAAGAACAGAGGCCGAACGAGACGCCTCTTTATCCATTTTGCACAGAGAAACAAAAACAAAAAAACAAACAAACCGCGTCTAGCAATAACGGTTTGCCGATACCTTGTAAGTGAGTTCTTCGGTAACACTCGGCTTTACAGAAGCTTTTTCTCACTTTATGAATCTGTGGAGTAATGTTTGGGGGAAATCCTGAAAATGCACGATAACACTCGGAGCATTGGGTGAAACTGGATGAGTTCTGGTTTTCCCGATGCAGCACTGAAGGTGTTATTGTGGCTTTACAGATGCACAGGTGAATACGCTGGCATGAAGCCGCTGCGAAGCAGTGTTACCGCTTGTTTTTATTAAGATGAAGTGTCAAAGTGTGTGTGTACAGCGTTTGTTCGGTCTGCTTCGATCTCAATTATCTCGAACAACCTCTCTCTCTCTCTCCGTCTCTGTTGTCGTGGTCACCTGAGGGATCTTTACTAAACGCTTTACTAGACTAATTTAAAAAAGATAAAAGAAAAAAAAACAATTTTACTGGCACCGTCTGGACTCTATTTCTACTAGATTCTATTGAGAATAGATAACCATATAAACTAGGTAAATACTTAAGACACTGCTGAACTCTGCTGCGAGGCGTATTTCAGGTTGCAGTTGTGCTGAAGGGCTGTTTTCAGTAGCAATAGACCCAGAGTGTGCCTGCTACATATGAACCCCAACACTCCAAGCCATGCTTACCCATTGGTTGATTGATAATGTGCTTGATTGAAGGACTGGTTGATTCTTTGATTTCTTGACTGGCGGATTGAGTGATTATGTGATTGGTTTAACATTTGGTTGGCTGAAATGATTCTTATGCTTTTTGATATCGAACGAGGTTCACGGTCCCTCACCGCCCCCCTCCATCACTGCTGTGACTCTTTCTCATAAGCTGTCGAACAAACAGCACAGAGAGCTGATTGGCTGATTTAGATCTCTTTTTTAAAAAACGGTCGAAAAAGGTTCAGATTCACTAAAGTCTGCAGGGAAAAGTGCATTTGGTCCCGTCACCAGTGTCACAGATGCCTCTCTTACAGCTGGAGTGGCCACTAGTGGAAATTGGCAGCGAGACTACCTTTGCTGTATCCAGCTCTCTCGGCACATCCACGCCTCCACGCAATATCAGTACTTGAGCAACTGAAGAGGAAAAACATGCACAAAGTTTCCCTCACAGTGTAACTTTAGTGAATCTGGACCTCAGACTCTGGTTTGCACTGAGCACAACAACACATTAACTGTCAGTATCAGGACAGTTAACTGGAATGAAGCTTAAGAGTTTGTTCACCTGCAACCACAGCATTACGACCAACTTCAGCTCGCCGTACCTGGACTGAATTCACTCTGCACTGACTGTATGAGGTGGAAACACCTGGAAACCTTCAAAATAAACCCCAACATGTCTGAGCAGGAAAGGAAAAAAACCCAGATTCAAAAGATGGTGGAGAGAAAAACAATCTGTGTCACTTTCTTTCCTGCTCTGATATGACAAATTGTACGCAAAAATAAACTCTCACTTTGGAGGAAAACGGCCATCTTTGCTCTGAGCTGTGGGTCAGTCCATGTGGTGCTACCAGGCGGTTTTGGAAAAGTCCATATAAAGATCTGAGGGGGGCGTTAAAACACAACTCTAAGACTGAGAATCTTTGCTCCTTCCTGCCTTCTTTTCCCCATTTCAAAACCAAAAGCTGCTTTGTCACCTTCGAAACAAAACGACAAACATCTACGTACCAACACGGAGGAAATGCACAGAAAACAAGTGGTTTCATTGTTCATTATTATTACTATTGTTACTATTAACTGTGTGATAAATGCAATACAACAGTTATGTAAACAGGCAGTGAGTGATGCTGTATCTTATTTACAGTATGAGGATAATAATAACGATGATGTTTTTACTTTTTTCGTCGTCATGGATTTGGTTTTTCCAGGCATTCTCTCACTGCTTAAACCACCTGTCGCCCCGTTTACACCGCAACTGGTTTCACAGCGGTTCTCAAAACTGGCTCCGGCTTCATATCAGTCCCCCAGAAACCTCATATCTCGAGAAAGTTGCCTTTTTCAGGAAAGGAGGGAAGAATATGTGGAATGTTTCCCTTCCTGAAATCTCACAAATCATCTTTTATTCCAGCCGAAATTGGGAAGTTTTCTCTCATCGTTAATTACATTTTTAAGACAGAATGAGGCTGCGTACACATTTTCACAAAGAGCTGGAAAATATAACTCACAAAGTTGGAGATACGAGGTTTCTTGATACAAGCAGTTTAATTGTGTTTTTGCTGGAAAAAGTCGAGAAGGTTCACGTCACAGTCGGAGGGTGAAAACCTTGTAACTCCAAAGATTTAACTTGAAATATGAAAGAGGAAAAAATTATTGTAAAGTTTACCACAAAAGTGAAACGCAACACTTTAAAGTCCAAATTTGAGTGTTTTTTCTCTCCATCACTGAGTTGGTAAAACTTTTAGATATTCAATGTTTCCATATTTTTAAAGTCTTTTTCAAAAACATAAAAAAATAAGACACAAACAGCAAGTTACAAGGTTTCCCTCTGACCTCAGTGGTACTCTCGCTCTGCAACCGTTGGCAAAAACTCTCGCCAGTGAAACCTCGGTGTAAAGGAGGCGAAAGCCGTGCCTCAGTGACCCCACCTTGGTGTTTTAGAGACAATAATAATAATTACAACGATTATAATATGAATATATATAAATATATATATACTTTTTAGTACTTTGAGTTGAAATACTTTTTAGTATTTTGCAAATACATGTCTCTGTATATAAAACAAAAGCCTCCTGTAATAAATGAGAAAAAAATTTAATACTGAATCTGTTGTGATGGTTTTATTTCATTATTTCTGTATGTGAGTTCACCTTCGAGCTCCAGTGTGTAACATTGAGGAGGATCTATTCACAGAAGTGGAATATAATATCATAGCTATGTGTTCACCATGTTTCTATGGTGGCCCAGAACGGACAAACCAAACACTGGTTTTGCAGCCATTGTAGTTTCTTTTACAAGCTTTGAATTTGGAGGGCGGGGTGCAATCTGCAACTACACCACTAGATTCCACTAAATCCTACACACTGGTCCTTAAAAAGATAATAAGTTGCTGATGGGTGATACCAGTGTTTTTAAATTCAATACGAAAACAATGAATTACATTTAAGGGCAAATCACATGAAACATTAATACCACATTTATTACAAAAGCAAATATAAGTACAATTAAATCCAAATTTTCAGATTCAACAAGCACAAGAACTCCAATGTTCTTATTTCTGTTGTGGAAATGTCTGTAAAAACACTGAATGAAGCAGTT